GCCAATCCTTAGAGGCAAAAATAACAAAGCTTCATCGCATATATGTTGGGCATGTTGCGAGGAGAAGCAATTCCTTGGAGAAAGCTATCATGCCTTGAAAGATGGAGGGTTAGTGAAAGAGAGGATGACCCTCAACCAGATGGATTGACATAGTGACTGCAGCAATGAGTTCAACTATGTCAGACGTGGTGAAGATGGCACAGAATAGGGCCAGGCTCATATCTGTTTTTCATAAGGTTGTTATGGGTCACATTCAACTTGATGGCACCTAACAACAACATCGATGCCTTTAAACTGTGGTGCTGGAGAAGAGTATTGAATATGCCATGGACTGCTAGGAGAACAAACAGGTTCATGCTAGAGAGGGTGAAAACAAGCTGCTCCTTGAAGGCAAGGATTCTGAAGCTTTGTCTGACATACTTTGGGCATGTTGCAAGGAGTGACCAGTCCTTGGAGAAGGACAATGCAAGACAGGAAGACCCTGGATGAGATGGATTGCCTCAGAGACAGGGGTAATTGAGGTGAGCGGCACAGGATAGAGCAGGGTTCAGAGCTGTTGTACAAAGTCACTATGAGTTGCAAGTGACACAATGGCACATAACAACAACTTCATCAGTTCTGGCCTTTCTGGTTTTATGTAATGTCTTTCTAAATTTTTCTTTATTGAATTGAATTAAACACTAAATTATTATTCTTAGTTATTCTTTTTAGTTATTCTCTTTTATTCTTATCTAGTTGGTTCTGAGTCATGGCAGTGCCTCCTACATCAGAAGGAAACACTACTTGGTTCTATACTATCTCCACAGTCGTTAGCATGTTCAAGACCATTGTTGTGGCCACTGTATTTTGGAAGCAGATCACCAAACCTATCTCCTGAAGTGCTTCTGGGTGGCTTCAAATTGCCAACCTAGTCAGTGGCCTACTACTTAATTGTTTATGTGTATGGTCATTGTGTTTTGAGTACCTTCCAACCTTCCAGCACTATATTGTGTCTATTGTGATCCAAGGGGTTTTCCTTGGCTCACTGTCAGAAATAAATGGCCAGCCCTTCTTCTCATTCTGTCGCAGTGTAGAAGCTTCACTGAAACCTCTTCATCATGCGAATATTCAAAGTAATGATGACATAGCTTACAGCATCACATCAACAAGCAAGACACCACATATATAACAAACAGACATCCTTGCCTCCAAGGAGCACTTTGGTTGCACTTTCTCTGAGACATATTTTTTCTTTTGGAAGTTCATGGAATATTCAGTACTCTTCTGTAACACCACAACTCAAAGGAATCTATTCTTCACTGTCCAAATTTCAATGGAAAAGACTATGGCCTGGATCAGGTGCACCTTAGTCTTTGAACTGATATTGTTGCTATTTAGCACTCTGGAGAGGTGTTAGACATTTTCTCCATTTATCATAATGTTGTCTACCCAGTGGTGATTTTTTAAAAATTTTTATTGTATTATTTTTATGTGTCCCATCAAATCAGATCTGACTGGTACAGGAGAAGATTGCCCCCTCCTTCTCCAGCACAGCATCTGGTGGATTTGAACAGTGTACCTTTGGGATTACAGTGCAGTGTCTTGCCACTAGGCCACCAGATCTCCCTTAGTGGTGAGGATTTTTATTTTCTTGATGTTGAGATGTAATCCATATAGATCTTTGGCAGTAAATATTTCAAGTCTTCCTCTCTTTCAGCAAGCAAGGTTGTATCACCTGCATAAGACAGGTTGCTGATGGCACATTCTTCTTCACACAGTCCAGCTTCTTGAATGCTTTGCTCAGCGTGCATATTAAGCAATACTGTCGAGTTGCTTGCAACTCATAGCGACTCTATGTACAACAGCCCTAAACCCTGCTCTATCCTGTGCCAATCACACTGCCTCTTACACACCCATCCCGATTACTCCAGTCACTAAATCAATCTATCTCATAGAGGGCCTTCCCCTCCTGTGCTGTCCCTCTACCCTCCCAAGCATGATGTCCCTCTCCAAGGACCGGTTCCTCCTTACAACATGTCCAAAGTATATCAGACAAAGCCCCAGAATCCTTGCCTCCAAGGAGTAGCCAAGTTTAACCCTCTCCAGGCTGAACCTGTTTGTTTTTTTAGCAGTTCATGGTACACTCAATAATCTTCTCCAGCACCACAGCTCAAAGGCATCAATTCTCCTTCTATCCTCCCTAGTCATTGTTCAACTCTCTGATGCATAACAAGTGATTGCAAAGACCATGATATCAGACACACCTTAGTCTCCAGAGAGACACCATTGCTTTTCATACTTTGGAGAGATCCCTAACAGCAGTCTTGGCAATACGTCTTTTAATTTCCTGGCTGCTGGTGACAAGATTGTTGACTGTGGAGCCAAGTCCTCCACGTACCTATCTCTATTTTTTACAATATGGACTACTTCAAGAATTTGCATGTCATCCTTGCGCAGGGTCCATGCATCTTCTCTGTATCATTCCAATTTTGGTATATGTGTGGCTGAAGTGAGGAAATTTAAACCATGTACTGTTTCTTTGCTCTGTTTGAATAATCGCTTATTGTTCTAGGTCTAGGTTTCACATGAATATAATTAAGTATTCTGGAATTCCCATTCTTCTCAATGTTAGCTATAATTTATGATTCACACAGTCAATTGTCTTTACATAGTCAATAAAACACAGATGGGCATCCTTCTGGTACTCTACTCTCACCTAAGATCCATCCCACGTTATAATTTATATTCCTGGTCTTGTTGCTATTGTTGTTTACTGTAGACCCATAGCTGATCTTTCAGTGAGTTTTCAAAGGCAATTAATCACTCGGCAGGAGATTGCCCATCCTTCTCCCGAGGAGCAGCTGGTGGCTTCCAACTGAGTGCCTTCGGAATTGCAGCACAACTTCTTGCCACTAGTGAGACCAGGCTGCTCCTTGGAGGCAAGGATTCTGAAGCTTCGTTTGACATACTTTGGACATGTTGCAAGGAGGGACCAGTCCTTGGAGAGAGATATGCTTGGGAGTGTGGAGGGACAGCACAAGAGAGGAAGACCCTCGATGACATGGATTGATCCAGTGACTGAGGTTATAGGGGTAGGTGTGTCAGAGACAATAAGATTGGCACAGGATAGAGCAGAGTTTAGGGCTGCTGTACATAGGGTTGCTATGAGTTGCAGGTGACTTGATGGCACATAACAACAATTCCTTGTGCCACAGCTTCTTCTAAATCCAACTTGAATTTCTAGCAATTCTCTATTAATCTACTGTTCTAACCATTTCAAAATAATCTTTAACAAGATTTTAGTCTTGTGTGATCTTAAATTTTTCAGCCTCCAAAAATACACGGGAGGATCAGCTATGTATCAATTCCAGTGCCATGATCTTTTTTTAGTATAGGAAAGCAGCTCTGGTAGTTGGGAAGGGGCAATAAGCTAATAGTCAAAAGGTTAGCGGTTCAAGTTAATGGTAGAAGTTCATGTTAATAGCACTTAAAAACAGGATGGAAAAAAGATATGGAAAATGATAAATTTCTTAGCTTCACAGATTTAAAAATGCCCATAAATCCATCATCCTTTCCCAAATCCAGGCAACTTTACCCCAGAAATGACTCTTCAGTGTGGACCCTCTTCTCCCTCCCACTACAGCTCTTTAGTTCAAGGGTTCATTATATATACCTTTGAGCAGCTCATTTACAGATAATTACTCTCCCTACTCTGACTTGCCCCACTTTCTTTTACCTTCCATATTGCTCTCAAGTAACTTCATTAAAAACAAACAAACAAACAAACAAAAACAACAAACAACTTGATCCTTGCTTAACTGCTAGTGGTTCCAGGTGTCTTGAGGACAGCTCTTTTCTTTATAGACTATACAAAATTCTTCACAACCTATTGCAGTCTTCCTCTCAGACTCATCTGTCCGGCCATATACCCTCACAAACACTTCAAATATTTTTGTGCTTGTCTTTCTCTCTTTGGGCTATTCATTTTCAGTCTCTACCCATCCTTCAAGGTTGTCCTTAAATGTAATCTCCTCTGGACAGCCTGAACTTTCTTCACACCCCACCCCAACCCTGCTCTTGCCAGGTGCTGTACTTTGCCTACTGAGTCATACCTCCATTAGAGCATTCCTGGGATTATAATATTTGATGTGTCTCTTCGAATACACTAGGGAGGCAGAGGCCATGTTAAATCATGTCTGTGCTCTCATCGCCTAGCAACAGGGACTGGCACAAAGGAGGATGGCTGGTTGTCTGAGTGGGTAAGTGAATAAATAAGTGAATGGGTGAATGGAAGCTGGAATGTGTAGGTGGGAAGAAATGGGTAAGCTGATAAATTACGAAAAGGAAATCTGCAGAAACAGACACCAGAGGGAGCTGAGACACCACAATAAAGTAGCTGGAGGGTGGGTCAAAAAAGGCTGCAAACTCTGGGGAAAGTAGGTAAGCTGTACTCAGTAAAGCAAGTACCACGCAATCATAACCGAACTCCGACGTTTGCAGCCCCCACACCCCTTTTTACAAATCACGCTCCCAACCCCTTCACCACCCACCTACCATCCCTAGGAAAGCAAACAAAGGGGAGGGGACCCCTGTAGAGTCCTGGACGCCGGGAGCCAATAAGAGGGCTCTATTCTACTGAAAGGCGGGAACCTTCGTTTAGGGGAGTCCAATCAGTTTCCAAGTGAAGGTGGAGGGGCGGGAAGATGGGCGGGAAGAGCGGGGGTGGTACACGGTGGTGAAAGATCACTGGGGCTAGGAGGCCGGCTCGAGCCAATCACCGAGTGAGCCTGCGGGGAGGGGGCGGGAGCGCCACGGCGCGCGCGATCCGGGCTGACGCATCTGGCCTCGGTTCACCAGGCTCTGGGGCGGGAGAGCGTGGGGAGAGGGGAAGAGCTGAAAGAGCGGAGATTGCGCGTGCGCAGTGGCGCGGGGAGGAGCAGGGAGCTGGCAGCAGGCGAGGAGGTTTCGAGCGATCCGCGAACCTGGCGGGCGGCGGGCGGCGGGCGGCGGGCGCTCGCACCATGGGAGAGAAACCCGGGACCAGGTAAGGGAGGTGGGGCCTCGCGATGAGGCACAGGCGGTGGCTCGAGGCGGGTGCCGCGATGGTCTGTAGATCAGGGCATGGGAGAGAGAAGCTGTGGAGCCGAACGCCTGGGTCCCTTGGGAGGCAGCCATCGGGGCCGCACGCCTAGGTCCTCGAGAATAATGGGGGCGTATGCGCGGACCCTTGCAGGAAGCGAGAACTGAAGGAGACCAGGAACCTAGAGGCTGGGTTCTCGCAGGGATGTGGGGGCCAGTCGCCTGGGTTCTCCTGTGCAGGATGCAGGGGCTGAGAAAGGAGGAGCAGGTGGCCAGCCCTGGGGAAGTCTGGACGTTGAGAGGGAGCTCCCTCAGACTCTTGTTGAGGTGATAGAAAGGTTTGCATCCAGTGCCCCATGGGCACCGTGCTGCCCCCACCTGTCCCAAGGACTAGGTGATTCCTTTTCCAAACTTCTGCTTCCTCGCATTGCTGGAAGCAACATCTTCATCTTGGGCCAACAGTGTGCTGCGACCTTCCCTAAATATGAACCGTGCTCCCAGCCCCCAGGTGGGGGTGGGCAGTATGCCCCAGGCATGCCATCCACTCCCCGGATGTTTTCTGTGCAATAGAGGCTTCTTCCTTCTACTAACACCCCGAGTTCTCTTTTTGGGCTGTAGCAAAATCCACTTCCTGTTGTCACCCAAGAGGACAGCCTGAGTCCCTGGGTAACAGGAATGAAAGAGCTGAGATGTTGGACCTGTAGTTCCTCAAGTCAAAGGGGAGCAGGCATGCAGGCCTGGTCCTGGTTTAGCTGTCACTTGTTCTATAGAATGTTCTACAGCCCCACCACTCCCCAGCCAGGGAGTATGAAAACCCAGGTTTCTGAACTTTGGCTCTGCCAGTATTGGAGAAAGATGACCAGAAGAGGTAATACTGATGTTTTGGATAAGGGGCTAATCACCCCAGAGAAAGGGGAAGTTGCTGACTTGAGGGAGCCCCCCCAGTTCCCGTTATGTGGTTCAAGGAAAGAGAAGATGGACTAAAGGGGGACTGACTGCTGAGTTGGCACAATTCCTACCCCCAGCACACTCAGGGCCACAGGAAGTGGAGAGAATGGCAGGAAATATGAGGGGCATCTGCTATTGCACACACACATACACACACTTTACTGGGCACTTCCTTGGGCACCTCACCTCCTTGCCATCTTCAGAATACATGTGCTGCGCCTCCTTAGCCTGTCAAGGAGGTAGCTGGGTTGAGATCCAAAGGGCAAGTGCATGACAGCTACTCCCAGCAATTGCTCTAGAACCACCCTCCAGTTGGTCCACATGTGGCTGTCCCAGCCCTCTGCCAGGGCTCCTGATGGAAGGAAACCCTGGGACACAAAGAAAACCATAAGCAACTGAGGTCAAAGGGGAGACAGAGGGTAGGCGATGCCATAGCAGTCAGCCACCAAGTTGGGACAAGAGAGGGTGCTCACCAGAGCTGCTCCTGCATCAATGCTTTATTCTTCTGAACTACTTGATGTCTCTGGGAACTTCCGTACCCTTCTGCCTTACAGTCTTGACAGCTCTGCCTTTGGAGAAGGGGAGAATTGGGCTGTGAAGGAAGGACTTGCCAGTTGGCAGCATTTCAGTGTCTGCTCTCTTAGGGTCCTTCTCTGTTCTCTGGGATTGCTGCTGAGGCTCTATGGGTTGGGGGAGTACAGTGGGTCAGCAAAGAACAGGCCCACATCACACTTCCCTACAATCCAGGGAGGAGTGGAGTCAAGGCTTACATTGTTTCAGCAACTGGAAAGTGAATCCCATTCAGTCAAAAAAAACACAAACAAACCAAACCCGATTCATGCCAGTTACATGGGCCAGATAATACAGCAATTTATTAAGAGCAAGGGCTTGGAGCCAGACTGTCAGTTTGAATCTGAGTTCTACCATTTGTATTTTGTGACTTTACAAGAACACTTAACTACTGTGTGCCTCAGTTTCCTTACCTGTAAAATAGGAATATTAGGACCTCTGTTGCTGGGTTGTTAAGAGTAGGTGGAACCATTTCATGAACCATTTGAAGCATTGCTGGGCACAGTCTTCCCACAATAAATATTAGCCAGTGGAAGTAAGAATGGCAAAGCTTTGTCTCACATGGTTTGGGCATGTTGTTAGGAGAGGCTATTCCTTGGAGAGGAACATCATGATTGGAAAGGTGGATTGACACAGTGACTGCAGCAGTGGGCTCAAGTGTGTCAGAGATGATGAGGATGGGACAAGGTTCAGATTTGTTGTTCATAGGTTTGCTGTGCGTTGTACTTGATGACACTTAACAACAATTACGTCATCATCTTTATTATATGGCTGGCATTGTACTGGGGAGCCTTAAAATAATAAGACCTCTAATGTTTAAAGTCTATGTAAGGAACCCTGGTGGCTTAGTGTTCAGAATGTCAGGGCACGAACTAAAAGGTCAATGGTTTGATTCCACAAGCTACGCCAATAGGGAGCTCTGGTGGCCTCATAGTAAGGAGCTAAACCTGCCAGCCCAAAGGCAAGTGGGTCAAACTCACCAGCTGCTCCATGCGAGAAAGATGGGCAATCTCCCATGAGATTTACAGCCTCTGAAAACCTGCTGAAGGGTAAACTTAGAGTCGGTTCCAACTCAATAGCACATAAAAACAACAGCTGCCCCAAGGGAGAGGCAGTCCAGTCTCAGAAACCCAGTGGAAGACTACTGTGAGTTGGACTGGGCTTGAGTGAAGTTGTTTTTTGGGGTTTTATTGGTTTGTTTTTTTAGTGCTCATTGTCTATCTGATGAGACAGAGACCCAACTAACTGTCCTTGGAGTGTTCTTACACATATGTGTGTGTGTGTGTGTGTGTGTGTGTGTGTATCAGAAGATTGACTTGGGGTCTAGACTGAGTTGACTCCCAAAAGAGGTGATATCTGAAAGATGGATAGGCTTTTAAGTTGCTGAGATCAGAGATCAGGACAGCTGGAGGTTAATGGAGTAGGGGCTGACTTGAGGAGTTCTGTTTTAGAAGCCATTTCAGAGGCAAAGGCCAGAGCCATTGCTTTTCCAAGTCAAGGTTGTCTTTGGCACTGGGACATCCACCCCTTCCTCCTCGGAAGAGCAAGTAGAGCCAAAGAAACAGCAAATCCCATTCAATTCCCCAGCTCCAGACCTAGCTGGAGGACTCATTCTTCTGTACATGCTGCTGCAGCCTGCCCCTGAGGGTCCTCAAGGAAAACCTGGGTGGTTCCTGTGGCAACCAGTGGCCATTACCATGGTGGGAGGGGGATTGTGAAAATAGCCCAAGAATAAGAGAAGGGGGATTTGCCATGGCAACCCACTTCAAGTGGCTGTCGTGCTTGAAATATTAAGAAGTTGTGGTTGCTTTTCCTTCTGGGAATAGTGGGAGGAGGTGGGGCTGAGCAAAACCCCTGGGCTGGAATCCTGGATGAACTCTGCTGACCAGGCTGGGGGGGAGGGATAGAGTCCTGAGATGGGGGTTCCTGCTGAGTCTGAGGGAGGCAGTGGGGTTTCCCTTTCTCTTTTGTTAGGGTCTTCAAGAAGTCAAGCCCTAACTGCAAGGTGAGTCTCCCACATGCTCTCAGCCCTCCCTGGGCACTAACAAAGCCCAGGGTGCCCCTCGATGCTCCCCAACCCCTAGCTCCCCACTTCCTGTGACAGCCAAGAGCTGACTTCCTTCCCTGCTCTGCTTGGGCTAGCTGCAAGGGTGGGTGGGGAGTGGCTTGGGTCCCAAAACAAGATGAAAGAGGAGCCAAACCTAGATGCTTGGGCCTAGGTAAAGTGAACACACCCCACCAAGCCCCCCACTTATGATTTGCTTGTCCCAGAGCCCCCGAGGCCAACAGCTCCTCTTTACATGGTTGCCTAGGGATGAAGACCCCCACCTTACAAAAGTGGGTGAAAGTGGGCAGAAGTGTGAACAGAGATTAGGAAGCAACTAAGCAGCCTAAAGGGGGGGCAGTCATGGAAAGTCCACCGCCTGGAGTGGAGGGAAACGGGAGAAATTCCTTCCTGATTTCCCAGCCTGGGAAGACCCAGGGCAGGACAGCCGCTTTGAGGGCTCTGCTTTTTTGTCACCCTCCTACCCAACCTCCTCTGTGACCCTCTGCACCCTCAGCTCACTGTGTACTTGGGCAAGCGGGACTTTGTAGACCACCTGGATAAAGTGGACCCTGTAGGTAAGTCCTCCCAGGAAGTGGCAGTTCATCCCCTGAGGAGGGGAAGAAGCGGGGAGAGTCTCCACTGGGAAGTGACCTCACGTGTCCCTTTCTAGATGGTGTAGTGCTGGTGGACCCTGACTACCTGAAGGACAGAAAAGGTATAGGCCTTACCTGAAAGGGCCCATGGGAAGCTGGGGAAGGCAAAACGGGCTGGCATTGATGGGTGCCAGACAGATGGCAGGCCGAGGGAGCAGGAAAGAGTAGGACAGGCCAGTGATATTCTCCCACAGGTGGGGCACCTGCAAAGACACAGGGAAGAGGGGTGTCCTTCGACCTTCTCATCCTGCCCTCCTTTGCCAGTATTTGTGACCCTGACCTGTGCCTTCCGCTATGGCCGTGAAGATTTGGATGTGCTGGGCTTGTCCTTCCGCAAAGATCTGTTCATCGCCACCTACCAGGCCTTCCCCCCAGTGCCCAACCCACCCAGGCCTCCCACCCGCCTGCAGGACCGGCTGCTGAGGAAGCTGGGCCAGCATGCACATCCCTTTTTTTTCACAGTGAGGATACCACCACCCTTTGCAGGGCATAGGGTCTTGGGGCATATTTGAGGGCAAGGTGCCTATCACAGGCACAGTGAGACTGTGGCCTTGGGGTGAAAGGGAACAAGAGGCCGGGACCCCTGACCCGCCTCCCTTTATTTAAGGTCCTCCTACATTTGGGAAGTCCTTGTCTCCCTCCTTCCTCCTGGGGCCCCTCCCTTCTTCCTTTCTCATCCCAAGGTTGAGATAAGGAGGAAGACTGGAGGTGAGGGGGTTGCTTCTAGAGAAACTGAAGCTTTCCTTCCTGTCTGCCACAGATACCCCAGAATCTGCCCTGCTCTGTCACGCTGCAGCCAGGCCCAGAGGACACCGGGAAGGTAAGAGAACCGTGGAGCCGGATGGATGAAGGCCAGCAGCAGCATGGGAAGAAGGGAGGGTTGTCTAGAGGACCCAGAAGCAGGGTCTTGTGCAGGGAGGTGTCCTGGTGTTTGAGAGTATATGGTGCGGTCACTGCTTACCTGGGACACAGCCTCTCACTTTCTTGGCCTGCATGGACCTTGGTTAGTGGCTCACCTGGAGCTGCTGGTACTGGCCCTCTGTCAGGTGCCAGGGCCCAGGAAGGCAGAGGAAGAAGACGATTCCATTTCCTCAGCCTTCAGATCATGAGGGGCCAAGAAGAGTTGCTCAAAATGAGGGAAGAAAGGAGGACGGAAGGGCAGTGCCAGGCCTTGTGTAAGACCTGACCTTTCTCTCCCTCCCAAGGCCTGTGGTGTAGACTTTGAGATTCGAGCCTTCTGTGCCAAATCACTAGAAGAGAAAAGCCACAAAAGGTGAGGGAAATAACCTGTGTGGTTTAACCACCCCCAGGCCTGTTTCCATTAGTCCCCAGCCTGTGGGAGGAGGAATGAGGGTTTGAGGGTCTGAGGGCTGACTGCTTTCTCCCCGCTCTCCACCCCCACTCCCAGGAACTCTGTGCGGCTCGTGATCCGAAAGGTACAATTTGCCCCCGAGAAACCTGGCCCCCAACCTTCAGCTGAAACCACACGCCACTTCCTCATGTCTGACCGGTCTTTGCACCTTGAAGCATCCCTGGACAAGGAGGTGGGGTGCACACGGCTGACTGAGGGGCCACAACATAGGCTAAGCTCTTGGGGAGGGGTGAAGTCACATGTCAAGAAGGCTGTCTCTGAAGGAGGTGCCCTAGCTGGGTTGGGGTGGCTCACACTTTGGATTTGGAGAAAGGAGGCAGAACAGTGAGTCTGAGCTGGGGTCCCACTAGTAATTAAGCCCATGGAAACAAGCCAAGTTCACACACCTCCTACCCCCAAAGCTGTACTACCATGGGGAGCCCCTCAACGTCAATGTCCACGTCACCAACAACTCCACCAAGACCGTCAAGAAGATCAAAGTCTCTGGTAGGAAGTGTGGGTTGGGAGGTCTTGGGGGAGGCAGTGACTGCAGATGGGGCTCAGCCCAAAGATATGTCCTGTTATGGGGAGCCCACCAGCACTTAATAAAGTTAGATTGTTCCAGAATGATCTGTGGGGCCCCAGAGTTTACTTCTGTGGAGAGTGCTGTACATACATACAGCGGGGGTTGTTGTGCTGGGCCATGGGGCTGTGCCAGGTGGTCTGGAGTCGAGCTCCATCCAGAGCTGCTGTGATGCCCCCTTCCCATCCTACCCCATAGTGAGACAGTATGCTGACATCTGCCTCTTCAGCACTGCCCAGTACAAGTGTCCGGTGGCTCAGATTGAACAAGAGTGAGTACCAAGCAGATCTGGATCTCAGTCTTGTGGGAGATGCGTAGGACCAGGGCAGCATTTTCCCCAGTCACAGAGGACAGGGCCAAGCCTTGCAAAGTTGGTTGATACCCAGCTGTTGGTTTTTGTGAGCAGGTTCAGCGACACCCTCTTCCCTTTTAGTGTTGTATCCAATAGGAGAAAGGTTGAGTGTGATGTGGGGGATGCTGCTTGATGGTGGTGATGGGCTGTGCCTCACCCAGCCTGGCGCTCCACGAGTCTCGTTCTCTTATCCCCACCCCTTCCAGTGACCAGGTATCCCCCAGTTCCACATTCTGTAAGGTGTACACCATCACCCCACTGCTCAGTGACAACCGGGAGAAGCGTGGCCTCGCCCTGGACGGAAAGCTTAAACATGAGGACACCAATTTGGCTTCCAGCACCATGTAAGGGGTGATGGTGGAGGGAGGACAGAGCATGGGAGGGTGCCTGGTGCCCAAGAAACAACCACTGCTTCCAAAAGGGTGCCAGGCTCTGCCCTGGGGGCCAGGGAGCTGTCAGTGTACAAATGAGACAAATCTCACATTCTACCCAAAGGTAGACAAGGCTGATCCTGATGTAATGTTGGTTTATTAGTGGCTAGTGTTAAGGAGAAAATGCAGAGAAGGCAGATAGTTACAGAGATCAGATAGAGAGACAGTGTGTTAACTTGAAGACAGTGACTGTGAAAACATATTACAGAGGTAAATTTGGAGTAAGTACCCAAAGGAAGGAAGGGAGTTCTGGTAACTTGGTGGCAAGAAGCTGCACTGCAATCCCAAAGGCACGCGATTTGAGTCCATCAGCTGCTCCCTGGGAGAATGACGGGCCATCTTCTCCCGTGTGATTTACTGTCTCTGAAAACCCACTGGAGGATCAGCTGTGGGTCGGTTCTGATTGATGGCACACAATAGCAGCAGCCCAAAGGAAGTAAGCAGTGTGCATAAGCAGGGAATGGGCTCTAAGAAGAGAGAACAGCAAGTGCAGAGACCCAGAGGTGGGGCCAGGTCAGGTATATGTGTGTGAGACATCAGGTAGCCAGCAGAGCCACTGGTCGCCTTCCCAGTGCCACCGTGCCCTATGGCAGGAGCAGCCACAGGAATCCACAGCTTCACAAAATTGAGACTCTGTCCAGGGTATACGCTCTGTGTTCACACAGCAGGCCAATGGGCCAGCATAGTGAGAGTGTGTAACAGGGAGAGGAGATGCGATCAAAGAGCAGATGAGGAATGGAGACTTGAGCTTTTACTGTGAAACAAAAGATGGGAAGGAAGCCACAGCAGGGCTCTGCATAGAAGACAGCGCAGCATGTGCAGCTGGGGCTCAGGGCTGATGTCACTTTGCTGTTTGCAGCACCCAATGGAAGAGGGTGCAAAGCTCTGGGTCTTAATCCGACTCCTCATCCTGTCCACAGAGTAAAAGAGGGTGCCAATAAGGAGGTGCTGGGAATCCTGGTGTCCTATAGAGTCAAGGTGAAGCTGGTGGTCTCTCGAGGCGGGTGAGTGTGGTAGGGGCCCAGGTGGGAGCGCAGCGATTCTCTCTGGTGCTGGGCCAGTATCCTTTTCATGCTAGTTCTTCCCTTCCCCAGGGATGTCTCGGTGGAGCTGCCTTTTGTCCTTATGCACCCCAAGCCCCATGACCACATTATCACCCTCCCTAGACCCCAGTCAGGTAAGCCTCTTACTCCAAGCTCCCAAACCAGAGGATGTAAGGGGGCCGGGAGAGGAATGCTGAAACTTCCAACACATACCCACCCACCCTTTCTCCTCCCCCGCCTTAGCTGCTCCCGAAACAGATGTCCCTGTGGATACCAACCTCATTGAATTTGATACCAAGTAAGACGTCCCTCCCCCCCCCACCTTCTCTCTTGTCTAGCTCTAGAAAAGAGTCCCAGTTTTCAAGTCTGCCCTCATACCTCCTATTTTCTGCCCTAGGGGGGAAGAGGTGATGGGGTGGTTGAACTATCAGATCCACATGGCTTGTTCTTATGAGGCTGCCTACTACTGCCCTTCCTCCGCCCTTTCTTGTAACTATTTCTGGTCCCATTACTACACTAACACCTGTGTCTGGGAGGGAAGCAGGATGTTGAGAAAAGAGTCTGAAGTCCTTGCCTTGCCCCTTCTTTTCCCCCACAAAGCTATGCCACAGACGATGACATTGTATTTGAGGACTTTGCCCGGCTTCGGCTGAAAGGGATGAAGGACGAGGATTATGATGACCAATTCTGCTAGGATGTAGGGAGTGGCTGGTGCTGGGAGAGGTAGGGGTAGGACCAAGAGCCCCACTCCTTTTGAGGGGGGTTGGTTATCCTCTTTTCCCCTCCATCCAGCAGCTTCCTCAACCCACTCCTGCCCTCCCTCTCCCTGGCCCCAAGATACGCACTGGACCCATCTCCTGTTGAAAGTGGGCATTAATTTCTTGGCTGTAACTGTGCCTCCCTAACCTCCCAAAGGATAACAAGCTGTGTTTACACCTTAATGTTTTGGAGTCAGGGGCTGCTGAATAAAGGAGTGATAGTTGGGAAAATGGCCAAAAAAAGTGTTCCCACATTCCACCTACCACCCACACCTCCTGTCTCTCTCTTGCCTCTCATCTGATTGAAGATGAGACGCTTTGGCAGTTGGGCCATTTCTTTGTTTCTGAGTATAAAGAAGAAAATAAAAACTTTTAATAGGCATGAATATGTGCGTTTTCTGTGCAGAGTTTAAGCGGTGTGTGGTGTGGTCATCCGTAACTCTGTTAATCTGTGGCCACCAGTGGCATGAGGATCCAGTCTCTTTGATTGCACCTTTGTAGCACCTAGGCCACCAGCAGGTGAACAGCTGTGTGGAACCTGTGTTCACGGTAAGTAAGGAAACTTGATATGGCCAACCCAAACTCAAAAGTGTAGTTTGGTAAGACTACAAAGTAAACATTGATTTCATTTACAGGGAAAGTAATAGCCAGCTCCCTGGCAGACCTGACACTCCTGGCAGCTGGACAGGGCAGGCTGGATAGCCATGGTGTAGGTGCGACTTGGCGTTAGTGCTGTTCAGGTCATCTACCCCTATATTCAGTGGGGCCACATCCACAGACGCCATCAGAGAGAGAAGCCACGACCCCTCTATGGAGTGAATATGAGGCTTTGCCAAGCTCTGGCTGGCAGGAGGAAGCAAGCAGCCCTGCACCTCCACTTTGTACCTTCACTGCCCATCCCCATTCCTTACTTTTTTCTCTTAAGACTCTTCCATTCAGTCCATGAACTTCTCCTAAATCTCTAATATGTGCCAGCCACAGCCCATATATGTGACCAAAACAAGCCTTTTAATATACTAACTTTGCCCCAGAGGAGACGTGCAGGGACTAAGAATGAGGAGATTCTGACAGGCGTGAGCATAGGGACTATTTCTTGGAAAAGGTCACCTTTAAGCAGACGACTGAGAGATGGAGAGTTAGGAAGCCGCACTGGGGTGTGGTGCTTTCTGAGCAGTGGTAACACTGGTGGAGGCAAGGAAGGAAGAGCACAAGTTGGGGACTGAAGGAGGCCAGCAAGACCAAGGCAGAATATGACTATTGCCTGTTCCCATTGAGTCAGTACTGACTCATAGCAGCCTGGTAGGACAGGATAGAATTCCCAAAGATGGAGGGTCAGTGCAGAAGCGGAAGACTGTTAACGTGGTGGATTGACACAGCAGCTGTAATGGTGAGCTCAAGTATGTCAGAGATGGTCAGGATGGCACAGATTGGACATGGTTCAAATCCATTGTTCATAGGGTCATTCTGAGTCACAGTCGACTTAACAGCAGTGTAGAAGCAGACCGTCACAGCTTTCTGAGCACAGGGACTATGGATTTGACTTTTAGGTTGACACTTGAATACCTAACTACTAGACCAGTAGGACTCCTGGGACAGAGATGGCCAGGGGTAAAGTAGTTCCAGATGAGGCTAAAGAAGCATATTGGGGTAGTGCTTTATCCAAATGTTATACATAACCTCTAACTAAATCTTTATTATCCCATAGACTTTAAAACCCTAATCCTACCATTGAATTGATGCCAACTCACAGCAACCCAATCAGACAAGGTAGAATTGCCCACAGATTTCAAGGCTGTAAATCAAACTTTTGGAAACCCTGGGGGCAGTTTCTATTCTGTCCTATTGTAATTGATGTTGCGTCCTTTTGAGTCAGAACTGACCCTCTAGCAGGTTTTCAAGGCGATTTAATCTCATGGGAGGAGATTGCCTGTCTCCCACAGAGCAGCTGGTAGATTATAACAGTTTCTTACCATTGGGCCAACAATTTTATCTTGCTCAGATCCACAATCAACACTCTAGATACCAGCAGTCAAGAAATCAAAAGACAAGTTGCACTGAGAAAATCTGCTCAGGGACCGCTCCAGAGAGCTGAAGATCACTGATTTCAGTCTAGAGACAAAGCTGAGCCATAATCTTCACAATTACTTGCTATGCATCAGAACGCTGGACAATGAATAAGAATGATAGAAGAAGAGTCACTGCCTTTGAATTGTAGTGCTGGAGAAGAGTATTGAACATACTATGGGTTGCCAAAAGAACAAATGATTCTCTGAGAGGGTGAAACTAGTTTCTCCCTTGGAGGCAAGGATTTTGAAACTGTCTCACGTACTTTGGGCATGTTGCCAGGAGTGGCTGGTCCTTGGAAAAGGATATCATGCTTGGAATGGTAGAGGGACAGTGCAAGAGAGGAAGACCTTGGATGAGATGGATTGACACAGTGGCTGTGGTAATGCAGGCAGGGGTGGAATGACAGTAAGTTTGGCTCTGGATAGGGCAGGGTTCAGAGCTATTATTCATAGGGTCACTATGAATCTTATCTAACTTGATGGCACACAATACCACCACCACCACGAAGAAAACTGGTTCATCTTTCCCCTTCAGAGCAGCAGGTGGGTTCAAAGCAGGGACCTTTTGGTTAGCAGCTGAATGTTTTACACACAGCACCACCTCAGGTTCTACACAGACATTTAAGTACTAAATGCTCTGGTGGCTTAATGGTAAGGAATCCACCACAACAAGATAAAGGTAAATAATCCAATAGAAAAATGGGCACAGGATATGAACAGGCACTTCACCGAAGACGACATTCAGATGGCTA